GGATGCTGGGGCACGAGGCCAACTTACTTTCAGTTAGCTGACTGGCCTAGGTTTAAGGTCCGTGTCCGTAACCACACTGGTTACGCACTGCATTGAAAACAAAGCTTGAAGCCTGTTGGCAGCCTTGCAACAGCAGAGCAGCCAATTCAAAACAACCACTTCAAGAACAGTGGGAGGTGCGAGCGCTACCCAATGCTCCGAAGGACTCGCGCTCTTCATGGGAAGTGCAAGGATGTCGTCAGGCTGCCGCACACTCTCGCTACAGCCATGACACCCTGTTCCTTTGATACAGATCACAGCTTTGTTTCGAACTCCTACAACAGATCTGACTACACACAAGACAGCCGCCTCAGCATCTACAGTCGGGTTCAGCACATGAAAGCAGAGGGTTACTGTCAGATTTTACCCCCATGCACCCAGACCAAAGATGCTCTGCTGCAGACGTGCCAAGGACTGGTCCAGGTCACAGAGCATCACCCTCTCACCAGTAATGGCACATCAGATCACGGGAGAAGTCAGCGCTCGGTGCCCTCAACACACCTTGGCTCAAACCCCTGGCATTTCCCAGCCAGTCCCTTTTTCAAGTCCTCAACAATGATGAACAGAAATCCAGAAATTTTATTCAGGATAGACCCAAGACAAAGCAGATGAAATTAACAAGTAGAAGAAATTAATGGAAACATAATTCTCAAAAATACAAGAAGGGGGAAAATATGCATTGAGGAAAGCAGAATCTTCAGCAAGGGGTGGCAGACCAAGACCTAAGCAAGCCACTTGCCGTGAAACTGGAGCCTGGGTGCCTTTTGTAAACAGTCATATTCCTGACTCTGCCTTTTCTCTGTTTTTTTTTGGAACTGTTCCACTTCCATAAAGTTTTGAAGCCTTAAAAATTAAGCCGTTCTGAGGGTACAGTGTTGCTGGTGATGTTTTCCATCAGCCCTCTCCAACTGCATTGTAAACAATCACTTCCTGCTCCTGTTGTGTAATGATTCGAAGACGAAAACAAGCTGTATTTACTTTCTCCAACCGAGCAATTCCAGCCCTGACCCAAAGCAACTGCGTGGGCTGCCAGGCCTCCTCCTCCTTCCCCTCCTCCTGGCTGAGCTCTGCAGACCAGTCAGCTGAGAGAGCAAAAGGGCAGAGGAAAGTACACAGAAACAAGGAGCACTTGCAGTTGCCGGCACCAAACTCGCGCACCCCCCCGTTTCCCTCCTGGGCTATTTTAATCCTCCTTTCTTTCAACTACTCTGAGCCTCGGATTTTGTTTTCCTTCTGGCTCATACAAAGTCTGAGCAATCTGCAAAGGCAAACCAGACTCCTCCTGACCATAATAAGCTGATTCTCACCAGTTTAACAGTAGGTAGTTACTAAGGCTTTGATTTAGGACTTTACTGGTTTTAATTTGTCGCTTAGGAGAACACAGCAGGGTCCCAAGGAGGTATCCCAGGGCACCCAGGCTTCGTTTTATTCTTGTTTGTGCATGTTCACTCGGCTCGCTCGCTGTGGCAGGAGAAGGCTGGGTAAGCATTCAAGGCCGGAAGGGTTGCGCCAGTAAATTACCAAATATTTACAGTTTCCAAGAGAGCAACAAGGGGTTGGATCAGTTCAGTAGGAAAAAGCTCCAATTTTAAAACTCACGTAGGAAACACGCCCTCACCTGCGTTTGGACAGTATCTGACAAAAAATGAGGCCTTGTTTGGCATAAATACACTGATTTCAGCATTATTAAGGCAGTAAAGCTCAACCGATACCCGCCTTGGGATGTAACCTGCCAGAAACATGCACCTTTCTCCACGCCAGCTGGCAAAGGTCAAGAGAAACAGCAGTTGATGTTTCATCTGATTTCACTATCAGGTCTGGCAATCAAATCTGGTACCTTCTGTGGCAACCTCCTTGTGATTTGAGTTCTCCCACCATGTACATTTAACGAAGGGATGGGTGTGATGTGAGCATTAACTCTTCTGGGTCTCAAGAACAATTAGAGAGGGTTTATCAAATTCTTGGAACAACTACTCTAATACTAACGAGATGGGGAGCATGAAAAGTAATTGTCCTCTGACAGTCAAAAGTGTAAAGACTGGACCCAAGGCAAGAATGAAACAAGAACATTTACCTCTTGAGTACTACCCTCGCCCTGTAGACTTCAGAGCCCCTTGTAGTCATCACCCCGCCCCAGTCACCCCAGTTCCTCGGATGGATGCACAGACGTGACACAGGGGCCGATGGCTCCGCAAACACCGCACACGGGTTTCCTGCCCTCAACGACAGCAGCTGCTCACTCCGGACAAGTCTGTTATTCCGTGCTTTATCAAAAATGGAGGCTTATTGAGCAAGCATCTCCCCTGCCGAGGGATAACGGCTGAAGCTGATGTCAGGTACGCATGTGAATTTCTGGTGAAGAGTAACGCTATTCGGAGGGGGGGCATCGGACCGGCGTGTGTCCGGGAGC